AACACAAGCCTCTCAGATCCTCTAAAGACACCAAACCAGCAACTAGGGACCAATTGAACTGATCTACTGTCACTGTTTGTGAGGTCAAACTCACCACTTTCTATCTCTCTCTCTCTGTCTAGCTGTCTCTTGACTTTTAGTCTGCCTCTCATTTTTCTCTCTCTGTCTCTGTCTGTCTCTGTCATCTCTCTCTCTCTCCCTCTCTGTCTTACCGTCTCCTCATCACCTCTCCCCTGTCTCTCTCCTTCACTTTCACCATGTCTGCCTCTCCCCTAATTCTCAGCGTTTAAAGTGGCGATGGCTTGTAAGGGAAGTTAATTGCACTCAAATTATGTTTGACCGCAGAAGGAGCGAGGGAGCGACAGAAAGAGAAACAGGGAGCGAGCGAGAGGGATTGCAGAGTGAGAGGATAATTGCAGTGGAGAAGGACGTTGCGATTATGATCACTCTTTCTCTACCGTCTGTCGTCTCAAACCCAGTCTGTTCCTACAGGGGTAACAGACACAGACACACACACTCTTGGATAACTATCAAAATTGGAGCTCAGTGAACAAGTTGCTAGGTGATGAGGTTCACATATGAAAAGACAACTAGCATAAGCAAACTTGAGTCAAAAAGAGAAAGAGAAAGAGATATGTGTGTTATCTACAGGCAGGTCCAAAATTATTGGCACCCTTGATAAAGATGAGCAAAAATGAATGTAAAATATATAATACAAATACTGAGCTATATTGTATGCTTAAAAAAATGGAAAATGATATTATTTTAAACAATTGCTCAGAGAAAGAGATTTTGTTTAACAAGTAATACTTTTTTCCAAAAAAATATAGGGGTCAAAATTATTGCCACCCCTGTTTTCAATAACTTTCACTGAGCCATTTTCTGAAATGTTTTACAAGATTGGAGGCCACATTGGGAGGGATCTTAGACCATTCCACTGGTGTTCGTGGGCGAAGAGCTCTATTTTCAAGTCATCCAATAAATGTAAATGCCTGGAGTTTGCAAAACGGCATTGGCACTTGGATTTGAACTGATGCTATGGTAAAACTACATGAAAACAGAGCCCCTTGGCTACGCACACCAGTGGTGGGTCTGGCGTCAAAATAAGGATACATAAGCAGAAATGTACCTCATACCTACTGTAAAATATGGTGGTGTATCTTTGATGTAATGGGGCCATTGTTCTTCCACTGGTCCTGGGGCCCTTGTTAAAACCTCTTAAGGATCGGACCCTTTTTTTCAATTTTTGCATAAAATGACATACCCAAATCGAACTGCCTGTAGCTCAGGACCTGAAGCAAGGATATGCATATTCTTGATACCATTTGAAAGGAAACACTTTGAAGTTTGTGGAAATGTGAAATTAATGTAGGAGAATATAGCACATTAGATCTGGTAAAAGATAATACAAACAAAAAAACATGCGTTTTCTATTTCTTTTTTTGTTGCCGTGATACGTTTTTTGTTGTTGTGCACTCTCCTCAAACAATAGCATGTTATTTTTTCACTGTAATAGCTACTGTAAATTGGACAGTGCATTTAGATTAACAATAATTTAAGCTTTCTGCCCATATAAGACATGTCTATGTCCTGGAAAGTTTGCAGTTACTTACAACAGTCATGCTAATCACATTAGCGCACGATAGCTCAACCGTCCCGTATACGGGACACCGATCCCGTAGAGGTTAAGGACAACGGTGTCATGAACTTTACCTAGTTCTAGGACATTTTAGGCAAGAACCTGGTTGCCTCTGCCGGGAGGGTGAAACTTGGCCGCTAGTGGATCTTCCAGCAAGACAATAACACCAAGCACACATCAAAATCCACAAATAAATGGTTAATTGGCCACAAAATCAACATTTTGCAATGGCGATCTCATTGTCCGGACTTGAACCACATTTGAATTGAAGAGGGCAGTCCATAAGAGCAGGTGAAGGATATCAAGGAACTGGAAAGATTCTGTATGAAGGAATGGTCTAAGATCCCTCCCAATACAGTGCCTTCAGAAAGTATTCATACCCCTTGACTTATTCCACATTCTGTTGTGTTACAGCCTGAATTCAAAATGGATTAAATATGTTTTTTTTCTCCATCTACACACAATACCCCATAATTACAAAGTGAAAACATGTTTTTAGAATCTTTAGCAAATTTATTGAAAATTAAATACATAAATATCTCATTTACATACAGTGCATTCGGAAAGTATTTTTATTTATTTTTTATATACATTTGCAAACATTTAATGACAGCTTTGTCATTATGGGGTATTGTGTGTAGATTGATAAAAAAAAAAAAAACGTAACGTAACAAAATGTGGAAAAAGTAAAAGAGGTCTGAATACTTTCCGGATGCACTGTAAGTATTCACATGTTAGAATCACCTTTGGCAGAGATTACAGCTGTGAGTCTTTCTGGGTAAACCTCTAAGAGCTTCGCACACCTGGATTGACAATATTTGCAAATCATTCTTTTCAATGGTGAAATCCCTAAGCAGTTTCCTTCCTCTCCCGCAAGTTAGGAAGGACGCCAATATCTTTGTATGCAATTTATGTGACTTGTTAAGCACATTTTTACTACTGAACTTATTTAGGCTTGCCATAACAAAGGGGTTGAATATTTATTGACTCAAGACATTTCAGCTTTTCATTTGTAATTAAAATTTTTTAAAGGTTAAAAACGTAATTCTACTTTGACATTATGGGTTATTTTGTTTAGGTTATTGACACAAAATGTCAATTTAATCCATTTTAAATTCAGGCTATAACACAACAAACTGTGGAAAAAGTCAAGTGGTGTGAATACTTTCTGAAGGCACTGTATGTTCTCCAATCTCAAATTTTGTTTTTAGAAAAAGGCTCAGTGCCGTTATCCTCGCAAGGTGAGGTATTGAACGATATTTAAAAACAGGGTGCCAATAATGTTGACCCCTATCTTTTTGAGAAAATCTAAAAATGACTTGTTAAACTAAATGTCTTTATCTGAGCGATTGTATTCGTATAAAATAATATAATAGTCCACTTTTTTTTTTAGCATACACACAATATAGCTCAGTATTTGTATTATTTATTTTCTAGTTTTTTTGCTAATCTTTTTCAAGGGTGCCAATAATTTTGGACCTGACTGTCTTTGGTTTCCCACGGTAACGTCATAACTTGGTTAAAAGGTCGACAGCTAGGGGGTGGAAAGTAAAAAAGAGAGGTGGGGAGGGTGAATGAACTAAGTTATGTATAGAACAGAAGCATACAAATCAAGCAATCAAATTTCTCTCTTCTATCAGTGCAGAACGTCTGGAAGACCCCAAAATTGACCTGCGAGTCACACTGTTATTAACATGGACGCTTCATCCCATTCCTCAAATGAAATTAAACCACGGAGAGCAAATCTAGCCAAGCTAATGAAAAGTGAATGTGATAGAAAGTACCCCAAGAGCTCTCCTATGAGACACACACACACACACACACACTTATTTCCACTAACACAGAAGGATCTTTGTTCTCAGGGTGAGATACCCCGCACCTTCGTTAGGCCCCTGAACGTTACCATCACGACACACACACACCCTGTTGAGGCTGTTTTGGTTTCTTGGCCGCCCAATTGTGTGACCCCAGGCATGGCAGGCAGGCGGGTGGAGTGACTGTAGTAAATGGCTCTGTGTGTAGACTCATCCGTCAGCCCCACTGGGCTCACGTCACATCCACCATTTCCTCAGGCCCCTGACAGTATTCATCGCCACTGATCACCAGCAGCATCTCCAGGGACCCATGGGGGGGATGCGGTGCTGTGTGTTATGATGATGGGGGTTGGTATCCAGACCCCCAGTGGGCCAGCCCTCTCCCCGTAGCCCCACTAGTGTCCAGGCAGGCAGGCAGGCAGAGCGACAGGGTCCCCTCCCCCTCTGGGCTAGCTTCTGAGTTGTGGCTGTAAGGTCCCCAGCCCCAGACCCCCTTTCAGCGCTCTGAATGGACCAGCCTCATTGATATTCCTATGCTTTCACACAAGGGGACCCCAATCTCACAATGGCACTGTGGCTTCGTCCGGCAACTGTGTATTTATGTGTGTGTGTGTGGCGGGGGGGGTGGGGGGGGGGGGGGGGGGGGGGGGGGGGGGGATTTGTATTGTGTTCTAGTCTACTGGAATGCCTTCTCTTCTGTTGGCTGACCGATGGCAGGGACACGACAAACAGACGGATGGGGGATGTGTGCCCCCCCCCCCACCTCCATGTTCACTTGTAACACAGAAGAGCACTTTAATTTTGCTGTCATAATGTGTATTGATTTCCCAAAGCCTTGCAACGATACATGGACGTCTGGCGATCCCTACACACACTCACTCACACACACGCACGCATGCACACACACAATAACACACACACTGCCGCTGCCTACTCAGAACACAGTGTTCAAATAAAAACCTGGCAGAGCCACACACACACACACACACACTCTTTATGAAATAAAATGGTAAAAACGGGATTTGTGGATTTATCGCCCGTTTCTTTCTTTCTTCTCTCTCTCTCTCTCTCTCTCTCTCTCCTCTCTCTCTCTCTCTCTCTCTCTCTCTCTCTCTCTCTCTCTCTCTCTCTCTCTCTCTCTTACACAGTCACACACACACACACACACACACAATCTTTATCCATCTTTCTCCCTCTCTGTCACTCTCTATTTCGGTTTCTCTCTCCATCTCTCCTTTCTTTCTCTTCCTCTCTTCATCTCAGTTGGAAACCTCTGTAAACAGCTCTACTTTGATGGCAATGCTTCTGTGATAGCTTGTGTTTGGGATGCATCAGGAGTGGTGAGGCTGTGTGGAGTGTGTGTGAGTGTTTGTGTGTGCGTGTGTCTGTACGTGTGCATGGTTGCCTGTGTGTGTGTGTTAAAAACACAGGCATTTCCCTCAGACCAGCTAAATCGACTACACTACTATTCAAAAAAATAAATATTGAAAGTATAACTGATTTGCAGACTAACAATTAAGCATCTGTTAAAAGTGGTTAGCTGCCTCATGTCTCTGATGTGTGTTGATCAGTGTGTGTTGATCTGTTGTGTGGTGATCTGTGTCCCTGCAGTGCGACGCTCCTCTCACTCTCTGGCCACTGACATGTTCGAACAGCACCTGGGAGCACACCTGCTACAGGTAAACATCACACACTCACACGGACACACATGAGGACACACACCCAGGCTCCTCTAAAATCACCCTGTTTAATCTCAAATGTATTTATTATAGTAACCTTTATTTAGCCACGTGTCATTGAGAACAAACAGTATTTTAGAATAGTACACATTTAGCCAGGTTGTTCAAGAGGTAGCCATATTTATTCCTGAGACAGTCTGACAGTGTGATGCTGCTTCTCTGTGTTATGTCTCCTCCTGCGTTTGCACTCCAGCGAGTCAACACTCGTAAATAACTAATCGCACCGCCCCACCGTAGTACTATCAATGAACAAACACCAATAAATAACTGTAGAGTACAGAAAAGAGAAAGAGAGTGATAAAGCGAGGGAGGGAAAGAGGAGAGTAGTGAAAGAGACGGGTGTATAGAATGTCCTAAATGAGAGAGGTATGCTAAGACAAAAGACTGCTGTCCGCTCCGAACGTTCTGAGGAGGAACGGCACTGATAGAAATCAAATTAGCGCTTCAGAAAACACTATGATTCTTTCCTCTTGCCGTCCTCTGTCAGTAATAGTCTGATAATTGCACTTTATTTCTCCGCCATTCAGCCGGCTCGCCGCGCCCCACACCCCGGCCACTCACATTTGCATACTGAATGTGTCAGTTGCATAAATTACCGCCACTTTAAGCGCCACCACCAAAATAGCAATCTTTCTTCAGCAAAGTGGCCCTAGCTTCCCAGCACACCGCGACTCACTTGTGTGGATGCTTGTTATTACGACAAATATTATTCTGTGAAGGAGTCCTTCCTAATGGGGTGGCTGTATACCTTTCACTTATCATCATAATCACCACTCCCTGTCTCTACCTCTGTCTCTACCTACCAGTGTCAATGGACCATGTCGTCCTACTGTTATTAACACTGATTGAAACAGCTCTGCTGGTATCTGCCTGCTCTGTGTTTAATGTGTCTTGTTGACTCTCTGAACAGGCTGGTGGTGTTTACCAGTAGTGGGTCGTGTGTACCTGAGGGGCCAGCCAGACAGGATTGTTAATGTGGGCGGGAGAGAGGGGAGAGACTGAGCGGTGAAGGGCTGGTTGCTGGTGGTTCTCAAACGGCAGGCAGCAGCTCATTGTAATTTGCTCAATACACACTAATTGCTCTAATTTGTCTGTCCGGCTGTGTGTGGATGTGTTGCTTCCACAGTCTCTGGACGGCTTTGTGTTTGTGGTAAGCTCAGAGGGACGATTCCTCTACATATCAGAGACTGTTTCCATCTACCTGGGCCTCTCACAGGTAAGGCCTGCTGTATACACACGCGCGCGCGCACACATACACACACACACACACACACACACTCACACTCACACTGTCACTCATACAGGTTACTCCCATCATCTCTCTTTTCATATCAGATGTTGTAATGTGTTTGAGGGTGTTCCCACCTTTGTGTGTGTCTGAATGTCTTTGACTGTTCTCTTGTGCTTGTCTCTCTAGTTCCTCCCTCTCTCTCTCTCTCTCTCTCTCTCTCCCTCCCTCCCTCCCCCCTCCCTCCTCCCTCCAGGTGCTCACCTCTGTTGATTGCCTGTGGCCTCTTGTACTGTGAATGTTAAGTCCTGCCATTTCGACCAGATGCATAAATAATAACAGTAATTACTGGCCCAGCAATCAAAGTGTCGCCCCTGCGCGCAGGGCCTGTCTAGTGGAGCAAATCGATTGGCATCTTAAAAGCCCCATTGATTGTGGGGAGGAGAAAAAACACCAAGGGGGATGGGAAGACAGATCGGGATAGAGATAGAGAGAAAGAAGGAGGGAGGAGAGGAGGGGAGTGATAAGAAATGTTTGGAAGATAAAAGATGGAGGATACAGTATGAGAGAGAGAAAAGAGGGAGAACGTTACAATAGCGGTGGTATTTGAGTGGATTTTAAAAGGGGGGATTTGGGTATGATTGGGAGTCCGCCCCTGGTTGGATTGGACTGTCCTGGAGAGAGGCTAGTAGTGGCGTGTGTGTGTGTTTGCGTGTGCATGTGCATGTGCGCGTGTTCGTGCCGGTGTGTTTGTGTCACAGTTCGGTATTTCTGCTGTTAACTATTAGTAAACACAAACTTAAAATCTAATTATGAAATATATCTGAACAGATGTGAAAAGACTACACAGCCAAATGGCATTGGATAGAGAGAGAGAAATAGTGCACTGGGGATTTTGGTATGCAAATAGAGCTTAAATGTGCAGTTGAAGTGAAATGCATCATGGGACTAAATAGGTAAACAACAAAGGCCATTCTTATTCATGAAACAGATGGCCTCACTAGTCAAATCTCCTCAAACAGAACTAAACCCACCAGCCTTAAAACAAAATTACAATCAAGATTTACTTTAATTCCAAAACACACACTACCACGTTTAGAAACTGACAAAGAGAGAAAGACTGAAAGACAAAAAGAGAGAGAGACAGAAAGAGGGAGGAAGGAAGGTGGGAGAAAGGGCATGCACACTTTAATAGAACAAATCCCTGTCTCTCAGGGAAAAACAAGTGAGAAGGGAGATGTAACTGGTGGTTGTTGTTGGACCGCCCTGTCCTGTCCCCCAGCCTAACCCCTCTGCCCCGGCTTACCCACGGGGCCCCTCTCCAGACAGTGGGGTTTCTTAGACGGCTTAGCCCAGGTCAGGCACCTTGACCAAGGGCACAGCCCGCCGTCCGCTCCCCTGCTACCTGGAGGTGATCATGTCCCTCACCCCAGGTCTGCTGGCTGGAGAGGCCCTCTCTGAACCCGGGACCCCAGGTCCTGCTGCTCAACCCCTCTTACCTCCTACATGGCAGGAGGGAGGATGGAGGAATGGAGGGAGGGGGGAATTGATCCTGGACTGTTTAGTATGCAGCCCCCATCACTCCCCCTCCCTCTCTCCTCTTCCATCCGTCAGTGGTGGGCTGAGAGTGTGTTGTGGACGACTGCCCGGATGCCTCATACATGTTAAAGCAACCTGCTATTATTTATATCATGTCTCTCCTCCTTCATTCCCCCTCTCTCTATCTCAACCCCCCCACACTATACCTGTGTCTTGCTCTGTCTCCCTCTCTCTCCTTTCTCTCTCCTCTCTCTCTTTCCCTCTATCTTTCAGCTGCCTCTTTCCCCAATAGTTCTCTCTCTCTCTCTCTCCTCCCTGTGATGAAGTGACAGTAGACTGACAGGTAACGTAACATAGACGTCTGTATTGCCCTTTACTGAGGGAGGGCAAAGGACTGTGGGAAGCCTGGGGTCCTCCAGGGCTGACTTCCTGTCTCTGCCAGGGGATTCTTCCACATGTACATATTACCTCAACTACCTCAACTAGCCGGTGCCCCCGCACATTGACTCTGCAACGGTACCCCCCTGTATATATAGCCTCCCTACTGTCACTTTATTTTACTTCTGCTCTTTTTTTTCTCAACACTTTTTTTGTTGTTGTTTTATTTTTACTTTTTTTGTTTAAAATAAATGCACTGTTGGTTAAGGGCTGTAAGTAAGCATTTCACTGTAATGTCTGCACCTGTTGTATTCGGCGCATGTGACCAATAAAATTTGATTTGATTTGATTCTGGTCGGTTTACGTCTCGTTTAGCTCTAGCAACTCATTAACACCAGGCTGTTTTTTAACTTTTATCTCTCTGCTGATCCCTCGTTACTTACTCCCCTCCTCTCTCCCTCAGTTTTTTTTTACACTTTAGAGGAGTTAGCACTTTAGAGACTTCCTTTTTTTCTCTTTGTTCACACTTAATCTGTGCTCCCTCGCTCAGCTCTCTGGCTGTGATGTCCTTGAAGGCCTGCTGGAAATCCCATAAAGCCCACACTAAATGGATCTAATCCTGTAATAAATGGGTATGTCCTACAGACAAGGGTGTGAGGCTGCAGGCAGGCAGCCAAGCAGGCAGCCAAGCAGGGAGCAGGCAGGAAGGAAGGAAGGGAGCAGGCAGGGAGCCGGCAGGCGCTTTATCAGATGGGATGGAATCCATCCCGCTCCCATTGTGTTTTTATGGATGCCATGCCAGAGCCTTAAACGCTTAGAGTAGGATACTATGATGCACGAGGATGATAGCTGGGAGGTGCTAGTGTTCTTTATCCCTTTCTGGGAGTGGGCTGGATACGTTCATGCCTATGAATTAATAGGGAATGAATTAACAGATTAAAATAGTCAAATCTGACCTTCAAAGATGCTGTATCCCTGGTGTCTTTTAGCTTACTTTAATCACCAAATACAATAGATTTTTATCCTTCCGATTTTAGATGTGTATTACTGTAATCTGTGTCTCAGGGGTGTGTATGCGACATGTGTGAGCGGTTGCGTGCATTCATGTGTTCATGCATGTGTGTTTGTGTCTGTGCTACACCCTGTCCCATATCTACATTTGATTGTGTGTAGGTGGAGTTGATGGGCAGCAGTGTGTTTGACTACATTCACCCAGCGGACCACGTGGAGATGGCAGAGCGTCTGGGCATCAGACCCCACCTGAGGGCCGAGGCTGGCTGCCACGTGGCTCCCGAGAGCGCTTCCAGCTCTGCCTCCACATCCTCCCTGGCAGGGACCCCCGAGCCTGGTACGTCTCACATACATGTCTGTAGGCCTGGACTGATGTGGTCCAGATCTTGTCCAAATGTGATTGCTCCCAAGTTAACTCTGTCCCCCTGTCTCTCCATAGCCCCCTCAAGCCCTCTCTCTCCTGGGAACGAACCTCCTGACCGAGGTTTCTTCATTCGTATGAAGTCCACCCTCACCAAGAGAGGCCTCCACGTCAAGTCCTCAGGGCTACAAGGTCAGAGTAAGAGACATATATAGAAATATCAAACTCTCCATTCCTATAGATCCTGCAGACAGTGTTTAATGTATAGGGTAGCAAAATTCCAGTAACTTTCCCTGGTTTTCCAGAAATGCTGGTTGGAGCATTCCCGGATTTCCTGTTTATTCCCTCGTAAACCTAGGAATCTTCCAACCAGGATTTCTGGAAAACCTGAGAATTTTTGAAAAGTTACAAGAATTTTGCAACTCTAGTAATGTACTACTCACCATTCATTCAGTAGATACACTGTACATGTACAACCATGCAGGTTGGTTTAAACTCTATTCTATTCCTGTCAGGTGATCCATGTGACCGGGCGAATCCGCTGTCGCCCTGCCATAATGCCAGGCTCCGCCCGCTCGGTGCGTCGGCCAATGGGCTTGGTGGCCCTTGCGCACACTCTCCCTCCCTCCACGCTGAACGAGGTGCGCATGGAAAGCCAGATGTTTGTCTTCCGGGTCAACATGGACCTGCAGGTCACCTACTGTGAGAACAGGTACAGCTACAGTGACCCACAACGACACAACAACACAGCAACACAACAACACACATGGACAGATGTCTGTATGGGGTGCATATATGGTTGTACTGTGAAAATGTATGTGGGTGGATTTGATTCAATTAATAGTATGTGTTTGTTTGCCTGTGTATTTGGTCTATATGTTTACATCATGTGGATAATATTGTTCCCTGTAGGATCTCGGAGTACATGGACCTGAGCCCAGCAGAGGTGGTGGGACACACCTGCTACCACTTCATCCACGTAGAAGACCTTGATAACATCAGACAGAGCCATGAGGACTGTGAGTCACTGCCCGCCCTGTGTGTGTGTGCGTGTGTCTTTGAACGTTAACATTTTTACTAAGTTCATATTTTGCAATCAGCGCCCTCTGCTGCCAAAGTCCTGTAGTGCTATGCCAACTCACTCTTTACTCTTATCCTCTCTCCCCCTCTCCCGTCCCTCCCTCTCTCTCTCTCTCCCAGTGTTGAGGAAGGGTCAGGTGGTGACAGGGTACTACCGTTGGCTCCAGAGGAGAGGGGGTTATCTGTGGGTCCAGTCCTGTGCCACCGTCTCCATCAACCACAAAGCCCCCCACGAACGCAACGTCATCTGGGTCAACTACGTCACCAGGTCAGCCCCTGTCACCAGTCAGCCCCGTCACTAGTCAGACCCGTCACCACAGTAGCCTCAGGTCAAACACACAACACATCCAACATTATGCTCTAAGACAAAGAGTCCAACTCCTTCAGTCTACCGTCATTTTTATATACGAAACTGTAATTACAGTATATTAATTTTATTATAGCATTATGCATAGCGTTATTCATTTACAACACCTATATGATACAAGTACTCGCACATGGATTGAAGGAAATTCTATTTTTTCCTTTGTCTCTCTCTCAGGACCCACAACCCCCACCCCCTAAACACACATACACACTCAAAGACAAACAGACACACATGCACGCACAGAGCAAGAGAGGAGTCAGACAAAAACAAGGGGAACAGGCTGAATTACAATACTAATTGGAGTAGCGCTTTATAATTACAACAAATGGATGTCAGAATGGTGGGTCTGAATGGTGTTTTAGTTCATTAGTGCTGTAATTACAAGAGCTAATTAACTTCTCCAGCAGCAGCCCCCCAATCCTGTCTGGGCTCAGTTCTTTACAGGTGGGCTCCTGAGTGGAGCAAAGCTGGCTTTGGGAGAGCAGGGGTGGCTGTTGTGTGTGTGTGGAATTGGGGGGGGGGGTTGTTGGATACAGTATTGCGGGTTGGGGGTAGCTGATGGGGGGTATTAATGGAGAAGTGGGATGGTTGGAGAGGCTGGTTGTTGATGATAGATGAGGGTAATGGTAGGAAGGAAGTTGATGAGAGGACTAAACAAAATAGACAATTGAATCTAAGACCATATAGGGCTCTCTGTAAAGTACTCACTGCACCCATCTTGCTAAATCAGGAGACATAAACAGTGGTTTGCTGCAGCACTCAAGAGCTGTAAAAGGTGCATTTATTGTCTTTTATTTACTGTCTCTCCCTTTCTCTCTCTCTCAGTCGGACAGAGCTCCCAGACACTCCCCTGGATCTGCTGCAGCTCCCAGAGAGCCTGAGGGCGGAGCGTCTGAAAGCCAGCTACTCCCCTTCGGAACACTCGCCACAAGCCCGGGGTAGGGAACCACACAGGCAAACACACACACACACACACATCTGCAATCACACACACATTTATACCGTACATTGAATCATTCACACATACACAAACATACTTGATGGGATGGCAGGTAGCCTAGCGGTTAAGAGCAATGGGCCAGTAATCAAAAGGTCGCTGGTTCGAATTCCCGAGACCACTAGGTAAACAATCTGTCGATGTGCCCTTGAGCAAGGCACTTAACTCTAATTGCTCCTGTAAGTCGCTCTGGAAAAGAGCGTCTGCTAAATTACTCAAATGTAAAATGTAATGATACATCCACATTTTTCCTCATGAAAAACATATCTAACTATTTTCCCCTCCTCAGGTCCACAGCCAATGAAAAGCTCTATGTGTAAAGGTGACCCTGACTCTAAACTGAGAGAGATCTATAATCCCGGCATCCAATCTGGGGACAGGAGGAAGCGTCCGCTGCGGTCTGACTCTGAAGGTGCTCCCCCGGAAACGCGGCGTCGCCTGGAAGAGTTTCGCCAGAGAGAGGGGAGTGTGTCAGCCTCCTCTGACCTGGGCAGTGAGAGTGAGGGAGAGGAAAGAGAGTGGGAGCAGGGGGGAGACAGCGGGAGGGTCAAACGAGAGGGGCCTTCGAAACGAGGCGTGGAGACCCCCATGGGGTTCGAGAGGGGTGGCAGGGTGCACAACAGCCGTGCGGTAATCCAGCACCTGAAGAGTGTAGTGTCCTCGCCTCTCTCTGGCCCCCCCAACATCAAGACTGAACATGAGGCACTGGCCACAGGGGGCCGCTGGTCACACACCTCCTCACACACACAACCCCCACCCTCACACACACACACCCCCTGTGGCAGCCTGAACGGCGACAGTCCCCCCACCCCTATCCCAGACTCCTCCTCCAGCAGTGAAGCCCCACCCAAAGGTATTTTCACCCCGCCCTCCCCCGCCATGTCCCCTCCCATGTCCGGCTCCTCCCCTCTACCCTGTGAAGAGCGGGGCATGTTGTCTGGAGGCCGGGGGGGCGGGCCTGACTTTGAGCTATTGCAGAGACTGGCAGCGGGGGGTGCTGCAGGACGGGTGCTGTTCCACCCCCTGGCCCTCGGCCCCCAGGGGCCACAGAGCCTGTACGCCCCCAGTACCATCCGCTATGCGCCCCCAGAGCTTCCCCACTCCCACCCCGGTGCTGAGGGGCTGCGCTCCGACCACCACAAGGGCCCCCCAGCCTTCTTCCCCCACCTCCAGAGGCTGGCCGGCCTGCCCTCCTTCAGTGGGTTCTCCGCCTCAGACAATCCCTTCAACCCCTTCTGTATGAACGGACTGAGGGGGGCCGCAGGGTCCGAGGAGGACTGAAAGAGAGGAGGAGGGGCTAGAGAGAGACATGGGGGCAGGACATTGGGACATGTGGGGTTGGGAAACTGAACAAAGGACCATTTGCACAGCTTCCATGGGGAGTCAGATGGTGTCCAACACAGGTGACAGGATGTGTGACACTCAAAGTGGACTTTGACACTTGACTTTACCCTACTAGCTGTCCAAGCTTTGTCCCCCCCTCTCTGCTCTACCGTATCCTCTCTCCACTGCTGTTATATGACTGTGCAGTGTTCCGTGTCTCTTTCTTCCACTCAGAAAAGCCATATTGTACATAGAGACAGGACCATACATACCTTCACTACTCCATCCTCAGTATCATAACAACTGTTCCTGAGCCTGTCAGACTGACTTCTGTGTGAATGAAAAAAGAGAAACTTGTTTGTGTGAAATACTGAATCATCTCTTAAACAGAGTTAGAAATTATACTCAGACACAATAGTGGAAATATAGAGGTCTGAGCAAATCTCATGGATGCCCAAAATAATATTTGAACACATCTCGGGTACTCCTTCCTTCCATATGTGAACCCTGCTGAAGAGGGTTTGAAACAGTGAAAGCACAGAGAGTGAGAGTCCCTGATACATTCCATTCCACTCTGAGACTGTTCTGTCATGATGTCGTCTGGGAAAGAAAGGTATGGGAGGGGGAGGAACAATACCTCTACTGGCTGGTCACTTTGTAATGTTTTCAGTCTTGTAAAAACTGAAAATGGTCCTACAGAATGAAGTGTTGTGAAAGTTAATGACGCTGTGCTGTGTATGAGATGAAAGCCATATTCCTATTATATTGTCATGTTGTTGCCATAGGGTGAAGTGGGAGGGGTGTAAAAACTATTATTTTACTAGAGGACATACTTTGGGAAATGCCACAGATTAATCCAGAAACCCTCAACAAATGTATTAGAAAGAAAGGGTTTGGGGAGGGGTGGGGGTGGGGGGAATATTCTTTTTTTATTCACAATATTTGTCCGAGCACTTACTGAAATGTGTTATGAACACATAGCACTTCATCTTTTAAATTTCCTTGTGTTTATTAAGGGTTAAATACAAGAGTGGTCATGATGAATACCACAAACGGACCACAAAATGTAGGGTCATTAAAGAAAGACCACAGGAGTTTAATACATGGTCATTAAACGTGTGGTCATTCAAATATGACCATGGGGATTTAGTACAGTTGTGGTCAATAAAAAATAACTAACTTTTTGTTCTCAAAGGTCATTATATTAGGTCATTAGAGGTGGGGTGGAAATCAGGGGTAAAATATTCATATACAGTTGAAGTCGGAAGTTTACATACACCTTAGCCAAATACATTTAAACTCAGTTTTTCACAATTCCTGACATTTAATCCTAGTAAAAATTCCCTGTTTTAGGTCAGTTAGGATCTCCACTTATTTTAAGAATGTGAAATGTCAGAATAATAGTAGAGAGAATGATTTATTTAAGCTTTTATTTCTTTCATCACATTCCCAGTGGGTCAGAAATTTACATACACTCAATTAGTATTTGGTAGCATTGCCTTTAAATAGTTTAACTTGGGTCAAATGTTTCAGGTAGCCTTCCACAAGCTTCCCACAATAAGTTGGGTGAATTTTGGCCCATTCCTCTTGACAGAGCTGGTATAACTGAGTCAGGTTTGTAGGCCTCCTTGCTCGCACACGCTTTTTCAGTTCTGCCCACAAATGTTCTATAGGATTGAGGTCAGGGATTTGTGATGGCCACTCCAATACCTTAACTTTGTTGTCCTTAAGCCATTTTGCCACAACTTTGGAAGTATGCTTTAACTTCCTGACTGATGTCTTGAGATGTTGCTTCAATATATCCACATAATTGTCCTTCCTCATGATGCCATCTATTTTGTGAAGTGCACCAGTCCCTCCTGCAGCAAAGCACCCCCACAGCATGATGCTGCCACACCCGTGCTTCACGGTTGGGATGGTGTTCTTCAGCTTGCAAGCTACCCCCTTTTTCCTCCAAACATAACGATGGTCATTATGGCCAAACAGTTCTATTTTTGTTTCATCAGACCAGAGGACATTTCTCCAAAAGTAAGATCTTTGTCCCCATGTGCAGTTGCAAACCGTAGTCTGGCTTTTTTATGGCGGTTTTGGAGCAGTGGCTTCTTCCTTGCTGAGCGGCCTTTCAGGTTATGTCGATATAGGACTCGTTTTACTGTGGATATAGATACTTTTGTACCTGTTTCCTCCAGCATCTGCACAAGGTCCTTTGCTGTTGTTCTGGGATTGATTTGCACTTTTCGCACCAAAGTACGTTTATCTCTAGGAGACAGAACGCATCTCCTTCCTAAGCGGTATGACGGCTGCGTGGTCCCATGGTGTTTATACTTGCATACTATTGTTTGTATAGATGAACGTGGTACCTTCAGGCGTTTGGAAATTGCTCCCAAGGATGAACCAGACTTGTGGAGGTCTACAATTTTGTTTCTGAGGTCTTGGCTGATTTCTTTTGATTTTCCCATGATGTCAAGCAAAGAGGCACTGAGTTTGAAGGTAGGCCTTGAAATACATCCACAGGTACACCTCCAATTGACTCAAATGATGTCAATTAGCCTATCAGAAGCTTCTAAAGCCATGAATTTTCCAAGCTGTTTAAAGGCACAGTCAACTTAGTGTATGTAAACTTCTGACCCACTGGAATTGTGATACAGTGAATTATAAGTTAAATAATCTGTCTGTAAACAATTGTTGGAAAAATTACTTGTGTCATGCACAAAGTAGATGTCCTAACCGACTTGCCAAAGCTATAGTTTGTTAACAAGAAATTTGTGGAGTGGTTGAAAAACGAGTTTTAATGACTCCAACCTAAGTTTATGTAAACTTCAGACTTCAACTGTATTAAATCATATCAAAGACATTCCTTTTTATACTCCTCACCAGAAATTCCATCCCAAATATTGTGAGGTCATAAGAAAAAGACATCATCCCAAACTGAAATTATAGAGAGATTAAAATGTCCCAATCCTAAATTGCTGTCCTGGTCTTAGATTAAGCATTACTGATGGACTGGGTTGGATGTATAGGACCATATCTGTCATACGAGGGGATGTCTGTCCGTCTGTATATCTGTCCGTCTGTGTGTCGATTATAATTCCACTGGCTCTACTACAATAAGTCCAGATAAAAACCCTAACCCGCTCCATCACTGTGACTCTAACCCGTTTCTGTTCAAATATTTGTGAATATACCATCCATTCAAATTAAAATGAATCAATGTATAAAAACGATGATACTATTGATGATAATAAAATATTCCATTAGAGGAGCACAAGAAAGTTTCCTGATTTCCTTGTTCTAGTATCTGACTGACTGTCTATAAGATGTCTTGAAAGGTCTCTAAGTGTCTCAAGTCATCTCAACTTTATGTCTCAAGATGTCTCGAGACATCCTAAGATGAAGGTGATGGCTGAGTATGTATACCTGCCCCACACAACAATGTTAATCAAAAAGTACCGGATGTAAAAACCATCATCCATATTCGTCCCTGTGGATCAGGTTTGAGTGTCCCTGGCCTGATGTTGTGCAGATAGAAGCTTTCCCATTAGACAGTATATATCCTCTCTAAGTAATAGCTCTGAAGATTTAGACAAAGGGTGTGTGCGTGCGCATGCATGTGTGTGACTGAGGCAGTGTTTGTGTGTGTGTAAGTGCGTGTGTGTCAGGGTGCGTGTCTGTCTGCCTGAGGCCGTGTGTATGCATACAGTGTATTGTGTGAATGGCCGGTGTGTGTATCTATGTGTGCGTATGCGAGCGTGTGTATGTTTCAGAGCGGGTGTTGTGTTGTTCCATGCAGCCCTAGGGAGGGGCTCTGACATTGAAGACTGGTTAAATCCTGTTTTACATTCAAGTGGCAGGCCCCAGTTCATTAGAGTGAGGATCAGTCCTCCTCAAGACCAAAGGAAGCGCATACTAAACAAGAGCAGTTGTTGGGGAGAAAATGTGAGTGTACGTGCGTGTGCCTGCCGTGTGTGTGCAAGTCTGCTGTGTGTGTGTGTGTAAAGAGAGTTAAGAAATGACCTCAGGTTCCTCCTTTATCGCTTCTGTTCTTAGGAGTGAGTTCTTTAGCTGATAGCCTGTTCCATGCTGGGTGTAAAGGTGTCTCTCTACATCTCAGATAGGGACTGTGGATTTGTGGGGACATGGGCGTCTCTCCTCAACCCTACGCCCTGGCTGTCTGTCTGTCAGTGACTTCGAAGGCTTATCTCAGTCCCTGAATGGAGCTGCAGTCTCTAGTGAAATACCTTCGCACATGGGCCTGACAAGGTAGACCCCCCCCCTTCCTTTACACCCCCTCTATTTAATCCATTCCCAACTACATCACCCATACCACCCCTTCTCTACTTGCCCCACTACCTCTCCACCTCGTCTTCCCTCAATCTTCCCACTCATTTTACACTATTCCCTTCAATCTCTCCATCCCCACCCACACCACCTGTTCCACTCATTATTTCACTGCTACACCCCCATCCTCTATTCTGTCCAGGTTGGGAGGGGTGGGTAATATGCTCATCTACAACCTGCCATGGTGCCGTGAGGTGGGTTGGTGATGGTGTTGAGAGTCAGGCCATGGTCCGGGTATTTGTCAGTGCGGGCGCGTGCTGCTGGGCGCCAGGCCCTTTAGACGCGCCAGACCCCAGCAGCCGCCTGCATGCCAAACAAAGCTGCCTGCGCAGTCAGACGCAGCCAAGGAGGAGGAGGGGGGGTGGCACGATGCAGCACCCAGACACACCCTGCATGAGAAACTAACTGCGCCAAAACGCCTGGGGTGGAGAGAGAGAGAAGGAAAGAGGAGAGGGACGGTTAGTAAGAAGCACTGGAGTTTACCTGAGTGACACAGTCTGATATAGAGAGAAAAAGTGAGAGTAATAGAAAAAGCGGATGGGCATCTGACCTCAGGACAGAGAGGAGAGTCTCAGCAGCTCAAGCCTTGACCCGAACCTTCTCACCTCTCCAGTGAATCGATGGATGAGAGAGATAACCCACACCTGGGCAGTAACCTATTCAGTGATCACTATAATCACCCTCCCTGTGTTATCCAGACAGCACTGAGGTGCTGCTCTGTGTGTCGTGTACCCAGAGAGGAGGATGGAGGAATACATGGCATCAATGCTTGGTTGAGTGATAGGAACTACACAACACGGTTTGAATGAAGGGAATGTCAGCCATTTTGATTTCATATTCTTATTCCATTTCTCTGGTCAAATCTGATAGATAAGCCTACATTTGTGTGTGCAAAATTCGGATCTCTTTAAAGGTGCTACACATAGGATATTTTTTGCATTGTAATTTCAGAAATTACAATGCTCGAGTTGAGCCTTTACTTTTGGTTTTGGTCCAACAGCTGTAAAAACAATATTTTTGTTATTGAATATATATTTCACAGCGATTTAGATGGTACAATGATTCCCTACACTATTCAGTGCTTGTTTTCTCACATAAACTGAAATTGAGCGAACAGTGTAGAATTTTTGCAACCGTGGAAATTAGTGATTTCCACTAAATAACACAGCCACAAAGTCAGAACAGCTTTCTCCCTTTTGACAACAGAGCCACACCGGAGGGAGAAATCAATAGGCGAATATCACAGCCAATCACAACACTGGCGGGTAAGTAATACTGTGAAACACTATCATTCCACTATTAGCGCCAAATATATTATGGACATTTTCTGAAATTACAATGCAAACATGTTTAAAACATCCTGTGTAGCACCTTTATGTATTCACGTAGGGGTCAAACACACAACACAAGTTTGATGTTGCAACTGTGTTTATGTACATACTCATACATAAAGTCTAATGATGTACAGTAAGTTGCACTGAAGGCCATGCAGAAATCAAATACATCACACTGCAACTCCATACAGATCTCCTCTAACCAAGAGACTAACTCGCCTCGTTCCACCATCCAGGTCTCGCAAGCTAATGTTCTGTAGTGCAGCGGTCAGGTCAGGACGGTGGATCAGGCTAGAGGCTAACCATACCTAAATGTACTCCATCATCTCATACAAACATCAAGCATACGGGTTATCCAAATGGTATGGTTTCTCACTAAAATATCTCCCAAAAGACAAAGAGGTTGAGGGTGGTATTTTGATGAAGTTGTTGCTCCAACTATCAATCCTCGATTGAGTAAATGTATGAAATAACATTACTTTATGGTTAAAATACTTTATAAATCAACTATTGAATTCAAGATTGCATTGAACATGTTTAATAAAGTAATTATAACTTATGACAAAAAAAACATGGCAAAGTGCTATTTGCTTTGTGACAAAACTATATGAATCACAAAACCCTTTGGAAAAAATAAGCCGAAGCCTTTATGGGTTAAAATAATCTGTTCCATCTGTAAGAACAGAACAAACACAGAAGAAAAACCCACAGACTGACACAAAAACAGAGAAATCGATTACATAAAGATAGAGCATTGCTGATGACCTACAGTATTTATACCTTATATCGCAAATTCACATAGGCCTAGTTCATCCATTCAACACAGCAACATAGGCTACATCTCTTCATTCTACATCACCAGCATGGATTACTACAGAGAATCCAAGTAGTCCTTTGTATAGATATAGAATAAACTGATATAAAAAATATCAATCAAAACCATATTTAGGTGAACACGGCATGAGTTGGCTCAGAGTATGGTTTAGGAATTGTACAGGGCACTTTGATTCATAAAGTAAACATGATCAGGAGTAAATATACTCAAAGGACTCACTCTCACTGAGTGTGTGTGTGTGTGCACAAAATACAACTAAATTAAAAAATCTAACATTGATATTATGAACTCTATCACAGCAATTTCACACAATCACCCACCCACACAAACTACTATGACAGAGGACAGAACCAAACAACCACCACATTTACATTTTACATTTAAGTCATTTAGCAGACACTCTACCACAAATCATGTCTTTCACTGATCGCCTTTATTCCCACGTGTCTTTGAGTGTCATACACACTCCCTCTCAGTCCTCTCCCTCTCTGTCTCACTCACAAACAAACACCTCTTCACCTTTGCCACTCACACTCTACTTGTCTTGGCCTTTGTTGTTGCCGTGGTGCCTGTCGCCATGGGAGTGGTTGCCGCGGTCCCGACAGTCTGGACACTCCCCTCCGTCATCGTCCTCGTCCTCCTCATGTATAATCTCCACCTCCAGGCGTCCGGTGTAGAGCGATACCGCACACAGCCAGAAGAGGGCGATGCTGCTCACCACAGCAACATTCAGCAGCACGGCTGGCAGGGAGAGAAACATCATCCTCCTCAGGGAAAACAGGCTGCCCACGTAGGACGCCCCGCCGAACGATACACACACACCACCCAGGATGAAGAAAGCTGGGGGAGAGAGCGAGAGTGAGAGGCGGAAAGACTGATGACCTAAAGTAGTATATTTATAATGGGTTTGTTTCAGCAAACTTAAGGTCTGTTCTGATAATTATGCTTTTCCCCAATAGAATTGAGCCCTGCCCCTGGCCTTCCTAACCATATCCTGCCTCTCGTCCCACGTCACTCTGGACGAAAGCGATGACCCCGATCCCGGTGGCCAGGAGTCCGTTCCGGAACCAAGACAGGAACCCTGGAACAGAAAAACACGGAGCTTACAGCCCAGTCTGAAAACACCCCTCATCCCTTCCTCTAACCCTGTCAATGTTTGCAGTCAGAAGCTTCTCCCATATTGCTCAAGTTCCTGGATTCAGATATAGCCTACAGATGCATGCAGATCTTCTTTCACTTCTTACACTACACTAACTGGTCTAACTGTGCCAACAGGAATAATAACTAAATGCATAGCAGAGTAATTAAATAAATAGCCTATGTCTTTGAACCTCTTCCTAATCTAAATGTACAGTTACCAGTTTCGTGGGACTTTCTCAGCATCTGCAGAGCAAAAAACAAAACAGCAGTGATTTAGAAAGACGGTTCATGTCAGCACACACAGATAATATCTGTAATACAGGTGTATATGCATGCTATATGGAAACGCAAAAAGGAGAATCAAGTCGTACCTATTTACTTTCACTTTCAACTTACCAAGGCATCCGCCTTATCGAGTTCTGTCATCTGATGATACTCTGGCATCCGAGCCTTGCCCCATGGCCCCTTCTCTGCCACCCATTTCCACGACGACCCGTGGACTCTTCTCACCGGCAGTACCCCTAGGTACTGCGGCCTGACGTGTTTCACAACCCGGGCGAACTGAGATGCAATCCGCGGCAGCTGTCTGCACGTAAACCAACTCAAGGCAGCCATAGCTCGCTAAAAACACAGCACGACCATTGCATGGCCTGTGAACTTTCACACTGCAAACGACACACGGAAAGAGGCGGTGCTCCCGTGCACAATGGTGGGGAAACATATTATGGTAGCGCCGTCCTGCGTTTGTTATTGTAAAATAAACCGTGCCATATTCATCCTTTATTCAATTTGTATTTTATTTTGTAAATGCTTAACGTAGGCTGTTTCTCACAGGTTTCTCCTTTACTGCCACATTTCCTCTCTGGGTGCATCCTGTTAATCTCCTTAATACTTTACCTGCGATTTGACTTGTGTTTAGCTCATTCAGACACCAGAGGGCATCGCTAGACCACAAAATGGAGTCCATTATCCCATAGTGCCAATTTAACAGTTCTAGGGTTTGAAATTGTTTGTGTGTCAGGATAGGAACCTAACTTTCGGTCAGGGTTTTCCCTAGGACCCTAATTAGTGGGGAACATGTAAAAGGTATAAAACCACCCTTGGACCCGCTACAGCAGTCACATTTTTTAAGTTTTTTTTTTAGGAGGTCCAGTGTGGAGTCTGTGCTGCTTTATTGCTATGCCTGGCTGTTACATGCATGTGGGCAACCATTTTGGGGACCATGCATTCTGATTGAGAGTAAATGTTTGCGGTGTGGTCGATTGTAGTGAGAAGTTATATGTTGAGTTTGGTTATCATTGTTTTTTGTTTTTGTTTGACAACATTCCAAATGTTTTTGTAAAGTTATGCATCTACAGTAATGCACATTAGTTTCCAGTTGGTTTGTGTTTGGATTGGCTTTATAAATGGGTCTAGAATATCTGACTTTGAATATGGTACAGTTGTGTTGATGTTAGGGGTGTGAATGTTCTGCATTTGAACCTATGCAAGGCCATGTACAGTGCCTTCAGAAAGTATACACACCCCTTTACGTTTTCCACATTTTGTTGTGTTACAGCCTGGATTTAAACTTGATTAAATATAGTTTTTTTTTGTCACACACAATACCCCATAATGTCAGTGGAATTGTTTTTTTGTGTGTAAAAAAAAAAATTAAAAGCTGAAATGTCTTGAGTTAATAAGTATTCAGTCCCTTTGTTATGGCAAGCCTAAGTAAGTTCAGGAGTAATAATTTGCTTACTTCACATAAGTTGCATGGACTCACTCTGTGTGCCATAATAGTGTTTAAAATGATTCTTGAATGACTACCTCATCTATATACCGCACACATACGATTATCGGTAAGGTCCCTCAGTCGAGCAGTGAATTTCGAACACAGATTCAACCACAAAGACCAGGGAAGATTTTCCAATGCCTTGCAAAAGGCAACTATTGGTAGATGTAAAATAAAAAGACATTGAATATCCCTTTGAGCATGGTGAAGTTATTAATTACACTTTGGATGGTGTATCAATACACCCAGTCACTACAAAGACACAGGTATCCTTCATAACTCAGTTGCCGGAGAGGAAGGAAACCTCTCAGGGATTTAACCATGAGGTGAATGGTGACTTTAAAACAGTTACAGAGTTTAATGGCTGTGATAGGAGAAAACTGAGGCTGGATCAACAACATTGTAGTTACTCCACAATACTAACCTAATTGACAGAGTGAAAAGAAGGAAGAATGTAGAGAATACAAATATTCCAAAACATGCATCCTGTTTGCAACAAGGCACTAAAGTAAAACTGCAAAAAATGTGGCAATGAAATTAACTTTATGTCCTGAATACAAAGCGTTATGTATGTGTTTTCAATCATGGTGGTGGCTGCATCATGTTATGGGTATGCTTGTTATCGGCAAGGACTAGGGATTTTTTTTAATGATAGAAAGAAACGGAATAGAGCTAAGCACAGGCAAAGTCCTACAGGAAAACCTAGTTCAGTCTGCTTTCAACAGACACTGGGAGACAAATTCACCTTTTAGCAGGACTATAACCTAAAACACAAGGCCAAATATACACTGGAGTTGCTTACCAAGATGACATTGAATGTTCCTGAGTGGCCTAGTTAAAATGTGGACTTAAATTGGCTTGAAAATCTATAGCAAGACTTGAAAATGTCTGTCTAGCAATGGTCAACAACCAACTTGACAGAGCTTGAAGAATTTTTAAAAAGAACAATGTGCAAATATTGTACAATCCAGGTGTGCAAAGATTTTACAGACTTACCCAGAAAGACTCACAGCTGTAATCGCTGCCAAAGGTGACTCTAATATGTATTGACTCAGGGTTGAATACTTATCTAATCAAGATATATTAGTGTTTTCTTTTTCATATTTTTTTTTTATACAATTGCTAGAATTTTTCTTCCACTTTGACATTACAGAGTATTTTGTGTAGATTGTTGAAAAAAAAGTGGATTCAATCTATTTTAATCCCACTTATACAATAACATGTGGGAAAAGTAAAGGGGTGTGAATACTTTCTGAAGGCACTGTATGTGTCAATGACTGTGTATCTTATTGCTGCTGTTGGGTGTGTGTGTGCGTGCATGTGTGACTGGTCATTGTAGGATAAGTGGGGGACCTCTTCCTGTCTGTCTCTCTGTGTGGTGGGCCCTTTGTCTCCTGCAGTCCTTAGGGACACAGACAGACCACGCCCGCCCTACCTGATGATTGTTTAGTGTGAGGAGCACGGGGAGGCAGGCGGGGGGTCTCAGGAACAAGGGGGGTGTGGGTGTTGACAGGGGGCTTTCAGGAAGGCCAACAACTCTTTGATGTGATGAGCAGCTGACACTCTGGTCTCAGTCACGCCACCTACTACTGACCATGCTGGATACACACACACACAAACGCGCACAAACGCGCACAAACACACACACACACACACACACACACACACACACACACACACACACACACACACACACACACACACACACACACACACACACACACACACACACACACACACACACACACACACACACACACACACACACACACACACACACACACACACACACACACACACCAGTTTTAAGATCAGTTTTAGTTTACTTGAATAATGCTCAGGGCTAGGGACTGGAGGAAATCTGATCAGAAACCGAGAGTAATGGAATTAATATATTAAGTTGGTGAAAGCTTTAGGTGGGAGAACCTCTTTAGTTGAAGTCAATGGCAGAAGTGTGCAACAATACAGAAAATAACTAGACACCCAGCTATCAATATCCTGGGTTAGATCTCAGCTATCAATATCCTGGGTTAGACAAAACATGTGTCCCGTGTGGCTCACTTGGTAGAGCATGGCACTTGCAATGCTAGGGTTGTGGCTTTGATTCCCACAGGGGACCAGTATGAAAATGTATGTACTTACTACTGTAAGTCGCCCTGGATAAGAGCGTCTGCTAAATGACGTAAATGAGAAGACATCAGGGCTTCACTTTATGCTGATCACACTTTTACAATGAAGTGCAAGCAGCACATGCTTTTATATTGTGATAACTGAAGGGCAACACACTGCTGGTCTGGATGTCTGGGCCCATATCCACAAAGCGTCTCAGATTAGGAGTGCTGATCTAGGATCTGTCCATATGATCTCATTAATATGATCTAAAAGGCTAAACTGATCGTAGATCAGCACTCCTACTCTAAGAGGCTTTGTGGATATGGGCCATGAACACTGAGCAGTGAGATGTTGAGGTCATCAGAAGAAGTGCTTGTGTGGTGACTATATACTTCTGGACTGGCTCCAGGAGGGAGCAGAAAAAGACGTGGATGTGAATGGCGTTTTTGTTCCAGACGAGAAGTGAGAGGCACTAGGACCATTGTCTTGGTGTGTGTTTGTGTGGCTGTGTTTATCTTTCCAATTATGTGTGTGTCTCTCCATGAGTGCGTCTTTGTGTGTGTGTCTCCGTGTGTGTGAGTGTGTGTGTGTGTGTTAGTGGATTTATGTTGGCACGTACTGTAGTAGCCGTGTTGCTAGATACTTGATATTGATATGGTTACATAAAGGGGCCTGAGGCTATGAGCATTTGGATTATGAAAAGAGGTATTAGAGAGAGGAGGAGCAGGAATGGGGTTAGTATATGGGAGGGCAGATTCTGGGATATCATAGACAACATCCCAAATGGCACCCTATTCCCTTGTGCACTACTGGTCAAAAATAATGCACTGCATAGGGAATAGGGTTCCATTTGGAATGGAACCATAGAGTTCATTCTGGTCTTCAGAACGCTGTGTGACCACACTGTAATCTCCTCAACTCTGTAGTGACATGCAAGCTGCCCCCCCCCCACCAGTTTTATATTCCTTTCTCTGTTTGTCTCTTGCCATTCATTCCATCTTTATACAGTGGGGGGAAAAAGTATTTAGTCAGCCACCAATTGTGGATGTTCTCCCACTTAAAAAGATGAGAGAGGCCTGTCATTTTCATCATAGGTACACGTCAACTATGACAGACAAAATAAGATTTTTTTTCTCCAGAATATCACATTGTAGGATTTTTAATGAATTTATTTGCAAATTATGGTGGAAAATAAGTATTTGGTCAATAACAAAAGTTTCTCAATACTTTGTTATATACCCTTTGTTGGCAATGACACAGGTCAAACGTTTTCTGTAAGTCTTCACAAGGTTTTCACACACTGTTGCTGGTATTTTGGCCCATTCCTCCATGCAGATCTCCTCTAGAGCAGTGATGTTTTGGGGCTGTCGCTGGGCAACACGGACTTTCAACTCCCTCCAAAGATTTTCTATGGGGTTGAGATCTGGAGACTGGCTAGGCCACTCCAGGACCTTGAAATGCTTCTTACGAAGCCACTCCTTCGTTGCCCGGGCGGTGTGTTTGGGATCATTGTCATGCTGAAAGACCCAGCCACGTTTCATCTTCAATGCCCTTGCTGATGGAAGGAGGTTTTCACTCAAAATCTCACGATACATGGCCCCATTCATTCTTTCCTTTACACGGATCAGTCGTCCTGGTCCCTTTGCAGAAAAACAGCCCCAAAGCATGATGTTTCCACCCCCAAGCTTCACAGTAGGTATGGTGTTCTTTGGATGCAACTCAGCATTCTTTGTCCTCCAAACACGACGAGTTGAGTTTTTACCAAAAAGTTCTATTTTGGTTTCATCTGACCATATGACATTCTCCCAATCCTCTTCTGGATCATCCAAATGCACTCTAGCAAACTTCAGACGGGCCTGGACATGTACTGGCTTAAGCAGGGGGACACGTCTGGCACTGCAGGATTTGAGTCCCTGGCGGCGTAGTGTGTTACTGATGGTAGGCTTTGTTACTTTGGTCCCAGCTCTCTGCAGGTCATTCACTAGGTCCCCCCGTGTGGTTCTGGGATTTTTGCTCACCGTTCTTGTGATCATTTTGACCACACGGGGTGAGATCTTGCGTGGAGCCCCAGATCGAGGGAGATTATCAGTGGTCTTGTATGTCTTCCATTTCCTAATAATTGCTCCCACAGTTGATTTCTTCAAACCAAGCTGCTTACCTATTGCAGATTCAGTCTTCCCAGCCTGGTGCAGGTCTACAATTTTGTTTCTGGTGTCCTTTGACAGCTCTTTGGTCTTGGCCATAGTGGAGTTTGGAGTGTGACTGTTTGAGGTTGTGGACAGGTGTCTTTTATACTGATAACAAGTTCAAACAGGTGCCATTAATACAGGTAACGAGTGGAGGACAGAGGAGCCTCTTAAAGAAGAAGTTACAGGTCTGTGAGAGCCAGAAATCTGTGAGAGCCTCAGTTTGTGTGTATATAGCATCCATAATTCCCCTGAATGTCCAGACAGTGTGAGGGTCCCTGCTCTGTGTGTTATCAGTGACTGTCTAGAATCAGAAAGGAGTACTCCATATTCAAGAAGGCAAAAAACAAGTCTTCTTGTACAAAAACACGTTTTAATTCAATACTGCAAAATTATAAAAAAATTAGGCAACATTTGTTGTTCTCATTGTTTTAGTCACTATTGCATATCAATAACCATATTATCCACAGCATAAAAGCATTTTCTAAATGTCCATTGTTATCATTCACAGATAGCATTTATGAAAAGTGATATTTTTTACTTCTCTCTTACCCAGTCTGTAACAGACACACAAAGTCAAGCGCATCCACGTACATACACACACACATACACTGTCCTACACACATCAACAAAATACACCCCATAACATTCAGCAAACCCTGTTTCGACCCGCCTACCGATGTCTTGCACAGGCTCCAGTGTTTTCATGGAAGTGTCTGTGTGAGCTTTGTGTAGGTGCCTTCTTCAAAAAATGTCACAAACAAAGACACGCTCTTGGACTTGTTACATTGCTTTCTGACATTACACACTCCTTCGATTCTTCAGTATGTTTCTCACTGTGTCACATGAACAAACATTATTGATGAGGCTGTGAAAGCACTTTTTTCTGTTGACTAGTTTAGTTAAAGTTGAGTTATTAAAGAGAGTCTTCATGCTTCTCTGTGTTAAAGAAAGTCTTCAGTCTTCTCTGCACACTGGTGGCAGGTGGCTACCCTAACAGGGTGTCCAACAACAAGACTGCTGGGAGAGCTGAATGCCACACTACTGTATGATATGTAAAGGACAATTTCCTGTGAGGTCACTTCCTCTTTAACGGCGCGTTGTTGATTGATGGCTGGATGTAGCTGAGGCAACATGCTGGATGTGTCACGATGTGTGTGATGGTCAGGACCTCCAATCACATTTCCTTAACTGTCCTGTTTTAACCTAGTGAGAGAAAAACAAATGTTGGGGGAGGTTCTCTTCTGCACTGTTGTACCAATCTAGTAAATGTGGAGGAGGAGTTAAGATGGAGTGTCGTCTTGTTAACATCCAAAAGCAGAAGTCGCGTCACAGGCTCTCTTTCCATTTCCCCTGAAAACCGGATGCAATCATTTCCCTCCGACCCCACAGAGGGTGCTCCTGTCTCCTTAGGCCTGATTTCTGATTGGACAAAAGACTATTGTATGTTACCCCTTATCTTCTGACTGAGCTGGAAAGTTTGCGAGAGCAGAGAAGATTGCTTTCTGATTATATTATAACAGCACTGATTACTGAAAAGGCAAAAACTGAAAAACAAGTCTTTCCATTCTGTTTGTTGTCTCTAATGAATTTTGGACTTCTCTGATGAAGAGGAGTCATCTTCATCCCCTTCGGCTCTTATGCCACCTGAGTTAGTCTGACCCTGCCTCGCTCCATTCAAAAACGGATCTCCGCCCTCTTTCCCTCAACCGCCCAAACAGATGCTGCCGTATCTCCTCACAGCCAATCAAGAGCTGTTTCAGATGACTGACAGAGCCAGAGTGGGCGGGGCCTGATGGTTTACAGCGTCTCCCCTCAGAATAAGATGTCCAATAGCAGCGCGGGTAGGCACATGCATGTCCAGGAAGCACTCGGGGGTATTGGACGAGATTTAGGTTTTGTTGTTTTGAGTGAATGGCACTTGAACACCTTTCTGTCCGGTTGCTATGGACAAGAAATGGCAGAGGAGACGAGTCAGAAATATTTTTTGAAAAATGTACTGTACAAAGTGCATCAATCGTTTCATGCACGCTATTACATGTAAGTCAGACATTCAGAACTGTAACTCACCCAATCTGTACTTCTCTTTGGCCTCGGCCCGCTCCTTGGCATCAAAGTACCAGACAGTGATGGCATAGCTGTAACACACAAGATGATCTGATCAGACTGACAACAGAGATTCTCAGCTCACGAGCAAGAACAGACCAATTCAGTACAGTATAGTACAGCATTGGAAAGAATAGGAGAGGGTTAAGTCTGTGCTATATATGGTCAGTGGAGGGTTAAATCTGAGCTGCTTCTGGACAGTGGAGGGTTAAGTTAGGGTTATTGCCTCTCCTGTGGGGCTTCTCAGTGGGGTTGTGTTGTTTATTCCTGTCTCTCTCCCTCAAGCACGCACGAGAGCTGCAATTGAACCGACGACTGCCCCCCTACCGCCCTCCTCCCTCACTCTCGCCACCCCTGACCCGCTCCAGTCAGGAAATACGTTCTTCCTGTCCTGAGCCCCACCTCACCCCCTAGATGTCAGACAGAGAGGAGAGTAGGAGAGGAGAGGACTAACAAATGAACTAGAATCAAGCTAATGACATGTCACATTTTTGTGGTGTACTTCTGACTAATGCGTTCCAAGATTCAGCACATAGATGAAAAAATCATGTGCATGATCACAACATCAGGCAGGAGTCTGAATAGGTTCTGATTGAGTTCATACTTCTCTCAACAGTGGATCATCAGCATGAGTGGATCTATAATTTGTGAAAGGGATACTTCGGGATTTTGGCAATGAAGCCCTTTATCTACTTCTCCAGAGTCAGATGAACTCGCAGATACCATTTTGATGTCTATGCGTGCAGTTTGAAGGAAGTTGCTAACTAGCGTTAGCGCATGCTAGTAGATGCCATAGACCCCCAGTCATTGCGCTAACGCTAGTTAGCATTGACTCGCGAAAACTACCTCTAACTTCCTTCATACTGGATGCAGAGACATAAAAATGGTATCCATGAGTTCATCTGACAAATCCAAAGTATCCCTTTCATAGAGCAGGTAAAAGCTTCCCCAACACCATTAGGAGCCTTTAGTGAACATATACTGTACTGTACAGTGTGTGAATGAGGTAAAGTGGGTTAGAGGTTATAAGGGCTCAGCAGAGAGAAGAAGTGTGGGGGGGGGGGTGAGTGGATGTGGTTATGTGGGTCTTTAAGTGTGCCTTAGTGCATACTACATACTTCATCACATAGTAAATCTCAGTTTGAATATACAGTACCAATGGGACATGTGTATGTGTGTTTAATTGTGTGTGTGTATGTGTGTGTGATTGAATACATTGCGTCTCAGTGAGCATGCAGTGACTTTGTAAGTGTACATACTGTATCACCTCTCTGACCCCAGTGTGAGTCTATGTCAGCATGCATTTGTGTGTGTGTGTGTGGAAAGAGGCTATACGGGCACGCCTGGTGCGCAAATTGATGACATATGTCACGCAGCTGAGAGTCGAGTGGATTTGGCAGTAAGGAGAGGGAAGTAGCTGGATAGTTTAGCCAATATCAGGCCAGGATGAGAGCTAAAGCATGGTTTTCACAGAAAATGTACAACTACGGCATTAACGTCTACAAAAAAATGAACAATTACTCCGATTTAAAAACAGAATGACTCTGAACACTCTCCCAAGTCACAACTTCGGCAGACAAGTTTCAAATTCTCACGGAACTTTCTAGCCACAAGCATAAATTAGCTAGCTGGGAAGGGCTCATCAGGATGACTGACTGAACTGACAAACAAATCCGTTGTCTCCACTTGACTCTCAGCTGTGCGACATACGTCATCAATTTGGGCACCAAGCGTGTCCGTATATAGCCTCTCCTGTGTTTTTGTGTGCGTGGCTGCATGTATGGTCACTCACCGTGTAGCGTAGGCTGGCTTAACCTCGTGTGGGTTCCTGCGGTCGGACCAGAAGATGAGCAGACGGTCAAACAGCGGTTCTATGTTGGCCACCACACTTTCCCCTCTGGATAGATCTGCAGCAGACCTCCTTGAACCTGACAACACGCACAAATAGGTTTCCTGTTAGATGCACAGTGTCTTATCCATAGCCTTGAGGTTAGAGAGGCTGGCGAGTAGCCGGAGGGTTGCCAAGGAAAATCTGGTGGGACAGTAAAGTACAGTATATCAGATGTATGAGACTCAATGTTCCATTGTACCTTGACATCCCAGTTCTTGTTGAGATAGTAAATGCAGGTGATGCAGCGGCCGTCACCGTTAGGGTTGTCCACGTGACGGATGTACCCCGTGCCGTTACCTGGGTAACAAGCCACCATAGCCTGAGGAGAGAAGACGGGGATGTTTAACAGTCGGTTACAGTAAGAACACAAACCTCTCCAGACTGCCCTTAAAGAGTGAATGCCCCTAAAAAACAACTAATCCCTTTGAAAACGGCATAGATATGAGTCAGAAACATTTATTCTAGTGTCAAAATTGACTACAAAGTGTAAATAGGATCACTTTGGTCATAAGGTCAGTCTCGTCTAAAACAGAGTTTGGGATCTCAGTGCTTCACAACGAGTAAATGAAGGTTGGGTTTGTATTACAATTATGTCAACAAATCACACCCCCTTTTGCCAAGCTCCACAGTGCAAATTGCCCCTCCGCCCACTTCGCTTCCCTTTATTGAATGGGGCTCGGTCATTACATCGCCCCCCAACCAACGCGTTCAAAGGATCACGGCCGTTTGAGACTGAAAAGCCCTATACATATTGACAAGCAGGATGTACAGGATGTTTCCAGCAGGATGTACAGCCAACAACTATGGTTTGCATGCCCTGCCAAAGGACCCTATATCATGCAGAATAGGTGGTTGGAGTTCGTTGGTTCTCAGTGGTGGTGAGTATAATGGCAGCTATACAATAGACTGCTGGTTATGTATCTGGTTATGTATATTTTGATCATCATTATCACCATCATCGCTAGCATAGCTGACTTTAGCTAGCTAGCTGACTTTAGCTAGCTAGCTACCTAACTAGCTAGCTAACGTTAACCTACCTCAATAAAACTCAGATTTGGCTTGGAAACACGGTAACATCATGATTGCGATCATCATGATTGTGATGTCGCCAGATTGACTTTAGATGCAGTATAACTTAAGCCAGCTAACTAAGATTGAAGCGACCACCGTATTCTAGCTAGCTAACATTAGCATTGCTAGCTAGCTATTTTTGATTAACTTTGCTAACAGTAATGGCAACATTGCCATCTCTCTAAAGTACATTTGTTGACATCTTATGGCAAAATTGTTTCCTACTTATTTACCTACTTAAGCAATGCCATCATATTTCCATGCCACTCTAAGTTAGTGTAATTTAGACTAAACAGTCACATTAGCCTCTGAAGTGCAACCCATGTCTAGGGCACAAATTAATATTGGATTCAGCTATGTTTGGTACTAACTAGCTAACTCATGTCTGACTACAACAGTGTACTAACTAGCAGCAACAAACTTAAACCAACCCAGGGCCATGGCAAAACATGTCACAGCTGGTTGCATAGTGTAACGGTGTCACCGGTCTGAATCTAATCCAATCTGCAGTCAGTCAGTCTACATATGTAAAGCTTAGAATTAGCTTCCATAATGTTTATAATTGAGGGATGATGACAATTGTTGACCCTGTTTTTCTGTTAGACAAAGTGCACAGTTGGGTTCCAGACTGATCCCCTGGTCATGAACGGGTCCCGGAAGGAGCAAAGTTGGGTTTCATAACGTCCAGCAATATGATTGCAATGATAATTTCATTCACTGTTCACTTGCTATTTTCACAGCTTGTCAGGCAAGACCTAACAATAAAAGTGTGTAATGCGACACAAGTACCCTTGGGAACACCCCCTCCATTGTTGCCAGTCTCCCTTGACTCAAATGAACAGCACATGCCATCATGAGGCCTAACTGAACAGTGACTATGTGTGTATGTGTTCACAGAAACATGTATGGAGCCAGCAAATGGAAACTTGCAAGATGATGTGATGAAGTCCAGACTGACAGATGGGCTTGATACTGATGTCTCTGAATGGAGAGAGACCTGGCACTCAGCATTAACATTTTACTAGACCATTTTTATGTATTGTCTTTTTTTATTATTGAATTGAATGGTATCAGTCAATATGGGGAGGAAGAAACCCTGTCTATTCCTGTTATATACGGGACTCCACACAGTAAGGTATGACCACTATGACATGTTTGCCAAGGTAGCCCCATTACCACCAGACAAAATGCTGATAGGCACAGTATCTGTATCAACTGGGAATGACAATGAAAGATGAAAGGTGCACATTTTTATACAGTATTAGCAGAACTCTGCTTCTATGGTATTATGTAAAGGACTGTTTATTCTACATCAGTGGTCACAAACCGGTCGATCTTCAAAGCATTCCTAGTCGATCACTAACATTTCTGTAGAAAAGCCAACAACAACGGCTTGCGCTACTTTTTTTGTATTCGTGTTGCGCTGTTGGCGGTAGGTGCACTTGATTCAGAAGCCCTGCGCACCGGATAGGCAAAGTGTTTCCATTTGGAACCATTTCATTTGTCTGAAAAGACATGCTCTGCCTACCCTGCGGACCGGGAGATCTGTGGCTAAATCGAGTGTGCCTACTGCGCTGGCCAATCGGATAGCCTACATCACCGTGCCAACAGCTTCCGCGACCCCAGCAAAGTTTGTTACTAGCCTACGTGAGATTTCATGACTTTAAAACCATGACCAGAGAGAGACTGCCAAAGAATACAGCAAAGAGCTGCTGTTTTTATGAGTGAGTTCATGTCTAAGTTTTTATTCAGCACTGTCAACACTGTTTTTATTCAACACTATTACAAAACATAAAACGAGCTTCTCCCTACTTCCACTCACGCTGCAGCTGCAATGAATTGAGTAGCCAAGTGTATAGATAGCCCTGCGTTATTATTATTATTATTATTATTATTATTAGCTCGTCGTGTCTATTTTAATAGCAAGGAATATTTCACTTTCTGTGGTCATAGGAAAAACATGAATTTGTGCATGAGGCAGATGAGATCTCCTACTTCCGAATTCAGTGCGTTCAAGACAACTTCAAATGGTTTGAACGGTCATCCAACACGGAATTTCAAGTCGGAAACTCAGGCATCTTTTCTAGAGCTCTGACTTTCTGACCTGAAGATCACTGATGTCATGATTTGACCTCATTTTTTCCCAGAGTTCCCAGTTGTCTTGAAAGCACCATGACCATCAGATGCAGGTACCATCAGTCTAGTAAAATAAAAAAGCAAATTTTAGCAAATTATTTCAATTTATGCTCAGCTGTGCCTCGCAAGTGCTACACCAACTGATCAATTTTATTATCAAAGATAATCTGAGAAGAACAATATCGGCAGGCATATAGCCAATATGCTGTGATAATGTACACTGCTCAAAAAAATAAAGGGAACACTAAAATAACACATCCTAGATCTGAATGAATGAAATAATCTTATTAAATACTTTTTTCTTTACATAGTTGAATGTGCTGACAACAAAATCACACAAAAATTATCAATGGAAATCAAATGTATCAACCCATGGAGGTCTGGATTTGGAGTCACACTCAAAATTAAAGTGGAAAACCACACTACAGGCTGATCCAACTTTGATGTAATGTCCTTAAAACAAGTCAAAATGAGGCTCAGTAGTGTGTGTGGCCTCCACGTGCCTGTATGACCTCCCTACAATGCCTGGGCATGCTCCTGATGAGGTGGCGGATGGTCTCCTGAGGGATCTCCTCCCAGACCTGGACTAAAGGATCCGCCAACTCCTGGACTGTCTGTGGTGCAACGTGGCGTTGGTGGATGGAGCGAGACATGATGTCCCAGATGTGCTCAATTGGATTCAGGTCTGGGGAATGGGCGGGCCAGTCCATAGCATCAATGCCTTCCTCTTGCAGGAACTGCTGACACACTCCAGCCACATGAGGTCTAGCATTGTCTTGCATTAGGAGGAACCCAGGGCCAACCGCACCAGCATATGGTCTCACAAGGGGTCTGAGGATCTCATCTCGGTACCTAATGGCAGTCAGGCTACCTCTGGCGAGCACATGGAGGGCTGTGCGGCCCCCCAAAGAAATGCCACCCCACACCATGACTGACCCACCGCCAAACCGGTCATGCTGGAGGATGTTGCAGGCAGCAGAACGTTCTCCACGGCGTCTCCAGACTCTGTCACGTCTGTCACATGTGCTCAGTGTAAACCTGCTTTCATCTGTGAAGAGCACAGGGCGCCAGTGGCGAATTTGCCAATCTTAGTGTTCTCTGGCAAATGCCAAACGTCCTGCACGGTGTTGGGCTGTAAGCACAACCCCCACCTGTGGACGTCGGGCCCTCATACCACCCTCATGGAGTCTGTTTCTGACCGTTTGAGCAGACACATGCACATTTGTGGCCTGCTGGAGGTCATTTTGCAGGGCTCTGGCAGTGCTCCTCCTGCTCCTCCTTGCACAAAGGCGGAGGTAGCAGTCCTGCTGCTGGGTTGTTGCCCTCCTACGGCCTCCTCCACGTCTCCTGAAATACTGGCCTGTCTCCTGGTAGCGCCTCCATGCTCTGGACACTACGCTGACAGACACAGCAAACCTTCTTGCCACAGCTCGCATTGATGTGCCATCCTGGATGAGCTGCACTACCTGAGCCACTTGTGTGGGTTGTAGACTCCGTCTCATGCTACCACTAGAGTGAAAGAACCGCCAGCATTCAAAAGTGACCAAAACATCAGCCAAGAAGCATAGGAACTGAGAAGTGGTCTGTGGTCACCACCTGCAGAACCACTCCTTTATTGGGGGTGTCTTGCTAATTGCCTATAATTTCCACCTGTTGTCTATTCCATCTGCACAACAGCATGTGACATTTATTGTCAATCAGTGTTGCTTCCTAAGTGGACAGTTTGATTTCACAGAAGTGTGATTGACTTGGAGTTACATTGTGTTGTTTAAGTGTTCCCTTAATTTTTTTGAGCAGTGTATTAAGCCTACTGCACAAATCTAATTCCTACAGAACTGTTTTTATTAGGTTAATGTTAAATTAATGTTTAAATAAGTCAGAGCGGTAGATCTTGGCTTGCTTTTTGACTGCGAAAGTGATCTTGACTCAGAAAAGGTTGGCGACCACTGTTCTACATGGACCTGTTACTACATTTGAAAATTATCAAAACACAGTTCAGAATATCTTATGTAGTTATTGAACTCAACCTGCAGGAGATTTGTTTGTTGTGATTGAGTGGGGGGAAACAGCTGCAGGCAAGTTTCTGACAGAATAGAGCCCCACAGTGGAGGT